TTGAGGGAGCTACACGGGAAATGGAGAGGTTGGTACATGTCTATAGTTGTATGGACATGTCAATAGGCTTATTATAGAACTCAAATGGAGTGACCTTATTGCTCGACTCAAATGAACATGTCTATATTTTCATTTTTATTCGAAATGAGATTTTATCCTTAATATACCACAAAAAATGGTGACTCATTCGAACAGACCAAATTTGAAATCCATTGGCTCAGTTTTTGAGTCTTAATCGAATCGAATCACTCATTTGAGTTTAATGGGCTCTAATACTATGTTAAGATTTGGAAATTCATCTTAAAAAGTCAACTTTATTAAAAGTATTAATCCAAACACTCATAAATTAGATTATGTTTTGATCTCTATTTGATGTGAATTCTATCCCTTGACAGACTAAATGCTTGTTTGGGAGGAATTTTAATCCAATTAAAATTGAAAATATAGCAGTTATTGGACCTCACTCGTCTAATAAAAGTCAACAATAACGACTAATTTTTTAATTTTAATTCGATTTTAATCTCTATCAAACAAGCTCTAAACACCTAGGTACAAAAGTCTGAAAGCACACGTGCCACTAGCTTTATATTTTTATTCCATGCCTAAATGTAATTACATGACAACTATATCCTAAAATAACTGTCGTAAAACACCAGATAATTAAACAAGAAAAAAAACATAATCAGAATTTCGTACAGTTCAATATGATCCTCAGCCGACAAAAGAAACTCAAGAAGAAAGGAAGAGACGGAAAACAAATGCATGGACACAATTACATTCCAAGGAAATACTGATAGAATTGTAAAAAAAGATTATCAATGAAAAACTTTATCAAACCCTAATTACATGCATATAAACCCTCCATGTTGAAATCATTGAGAATGATAAAAGCGAAAGCATACTTTGATCCATAGATGTTTGATTGATTGGTTGAATGAGTTATGATCTTCCCAATTGATTCGTGATCTCCCCTTGAATCTTCTCTTTGTTGTTAGGGATGCAGAGAAAATAAAAATCACGTTCAATTTTGGGGACCATTACCCCATGATAAATAATAATAATTGAATATTCAGTTATTATCTTTCAGTTATTTCAAATTGGCCCCTCATCAATTTAAAACAAACATTTTGGTCTCTACACTACATTTTCATGAAATTTAATGCACATTAGTCCAAAGTCAACTTTAATAGATCATTTTAATTGACTAATCTTTAAACAATAGCAACACACATTTCAATTTATTACATGTGTGACCCCATATGTTGGAATTTTCAAACAAATATAGTTGAAATCATCAGATTAGATTTGTTTACCTTTCCGCTCTCCTCTTTTTGATGCTCTAAAACTTCCAAAAGTTTTCAAACATATAGTTTATAGAAACAAGAGAAATCAAGTTTTAAGAACCAAATTGACTGGTCTGACTTATTCTTCATTAATTGGACCAGATGCAATGTTAAGCATGTTTCCAACATCATAATGAACTATGTACCAAAAATTATAATGAACTAACAGGTACAGAACAAAAGTATGGCTAAATGAAGAGATCAGAGGAATTAATTCTCTATTATGGTCCATTTTGTTAGGAAAATAAACTAGACCTAATAGAAAGTAATTAGGTTAAGTTATTTGCTTAAAATTAAATCCAAGAGAACGGCTGAACCGCGAAAATGGTTCCTAGTAAGTCTGGGAGCAGTGGCCAAGTTTGTTCTTGGGTAATATGCAGATTTTGAGCTCTATGAAAGGAGGATCTTCCTCCTTTTTGCTAACACGTAAACAGTTATAAATACACTTATTCTCTGGTGAGTTCAAACCGTTTTCGGTATTTAGAGATCATATCCCACGTATCTGTGTCACAACAAATGTTGCAATAAGCAATGCTAAGTAAGAAGAATTAGAAAAATCCAATTGAAAAGATGCAGTATGCAGGGAACTGCATAGAAGAAACTGAACTTCCATGAGAACAGAGAATCAGAAGGAAAATGACAAACAACTAATACAACTTGAAGATGGTTAGTCTTTTTGAGAGAAATAGAGAAGCCAACAAAACACTCTCCACCCATGTACGCTAGCTTATGAATTTCATTTTAAAATAAAGTCCACAGAAGAGGAAGAAAATATACTAAAACAAATGTGCAGCCTGGTTTCCACCAAATCTATACACAGCCTAACTGTATCACGAGAAACATCATTTTTCCCTTATGGGGGAGGAAGAAACAAAAGAAAAGTGATGTAGAAGTACCTTCAAATACCAGTTATGCCATTAGATATTACTGCACTATTTAGTTCAAAATAATCCCACAATAACTTAAATGATTGCGGTATGTTCAAACCCTCGAAACGAAATAATTGAATACCTAAAAGTGCTGTTTAATAACTTAGTATACTAAAAATTATTCAGCCATTAAAAAATTTATCAATATTTTTTTAAACACCTAGGGAATGCTTTATGTGCATTATAGAGTGTAACGTTGAGGCGGTCTCTCGGTACAAGAAGGGGAAGGACCGAAGGAGTAAGGACAAGAGGAGAACAAGGAGTAGGCGGGGCAGCGGGGAGTGGAGGGGTAATTGCAAATTAGCTATGTTAAATCTCTATAACCATTAAACATGACAGTAAATATTAGTCTTTAGATCTTGGTATCTTAGTCAACCCAAAATTATCTTTTGGTTCTTATAATTAGCCGTGACACATAGGAAAATGGTACCTACATTCTAGTGTGAAGTTAAATTTGAGTAATTTGATCCTATTCATCACCAATATCTAGGAAATAATCTACCAAGAAGTAAGGCTGCCTACAGTGTAGAGTGAAAACTACCTTTAAAAACTAGAAAGATCCCAAAAATAGAAAAATGGACAAAAGAAAAGTAAAACACGCCAAAGTGCGTTGAGATAGTAGCAAAACTACTATAAGTTCTATTTTTGTCCTGCTAAGTTTTGGTCATCAATTAATAATTGAAAGGTGATTAAGTCGTTGATGCAAATAAGCCATTTCTTATTGTTAATCTGACTTGGGGAAATTGAAAAACAAAGAAAGCAATATCAGTGATGAGAGATGATATTGACATAGATGGGATTTGGTTTTGCCTGGAAAAAGAAACTTCGGAAGTTGAAATATATGGTGTGATTCAGGGGCGGACCCACATAGGGTCATGTGGGGTCAAATAACCCCACAGTTTTTTTTTTTTTTTTTGGGTTTTTTTTATTTTTTTTTTTTTGTGAAATA